AAATTGTCATTCTTCTCAACCGCATTTCTGCAAATTCAAAGAAGGTTGTCAAGGACGCATATCAATTTGTTGCAAAATCTTTTAGCTTTCTCGAGTTATGCACATATTTAATTTAAATGGTCTTAATCGTAATCCTACGATAATTTTTTCATACTTGCTTTTGTTTACCTCATTTATACGTATTTTAAACGGAATCTTACGGTAGCTATCCTAGTACTCTTTTGTTCTCCTTTTACGCCGAAGGCATTGTTGAGCACATCTTGACAAGTGGTTTTCTCTCGAAGATACCCGGGATATGCAGGCAATTTTAATCTGGCAGCATTTGGTTGTGTCGAACTTGGCACCTGCAAAATCAGTTTTGTGGATTATGTTCCATTCTGTTGTTTCTTTTAAGCTTACTTTGGATTCGTCTTTGAGTGGCCTTTCTACCAATGATGTAGGGTCAACGAGCGTTGGTGAAGGTTTCGATTGATCCTTTTTCAACGGGCGCGACATGAACAATACTCTGGAATAGACGTGCTTATGTATTTGCTTTAATTTTCTTCATGTTGAAAGGGTTAGGTCATACCTTGGTAAAAAGTTTAGAAACACAGCACGAATCCATGGTGACATCTTATGAGCGGATCCCGATCGGAATCGGAAATTTACGGTGACTACGGAGACCACTGTAGATAGGGCGACCAATATCATAGTAGTTATGAGATATCTTCCAAACATGGGAATAACTAGCGATGTTGGAGGCATAAGATCGATTAAGACCTTTAATTGGAAGACATTTTAATGTAAATTCTCATTACTGAAAAAAATTCTACAGAATATATTATAGGATATACAGTGGTTATTTAGAACCTTAAACTACTCTATGTTTAGCATACTGCCTACTCGTATTAGCTTAAAAGACTGAACTGATTGAATTTCAGTGCTATTTGAAAGATAAACGAATTTAATCAATTAAAAAAATTTTAAACCCACCAAGAAGAAGACAGTGAGCGTGACGAGAATGCTGATAGAAAAGGTAATTTTATGATCCGACAAATAAAATACGAACGTTGTGAGAATAGAAATAAGAAAACAGGGAATGATGAGGTTGCAGGTGAAAAACAGGGTTTTTCTCCTAAAAAATTCAAGTTTTCTCATATAAACCCATATCGAAAGGCGAGCTTCCCATTTTTCCAGCGTTTCTCGTGATTTAACAGTGCAAGTTTATCACCTTCCATAGCAGCAAAAGTCTCTCAAAGTGAATAATTCAATGTCCGGTTTCTAAACCCTTTTTAACTGATAAATCTTGGGTTCATAGCATATTTTTCCAGCATTTTTCAGTGATGGTTAATGCTTAAGGAACAGTGTACAAATACGATTCGCTTGAAGCGATGAAGATACACGCAGGCAAATTTCACTACAGGTCCTCGTTCAATAGTTGCAACAAAATAATAAAAAACTCTTTAGAGAAAGACATACCTTAGACCGAAATAATAAGTGATATCCACATATTTTTCAGGACCACAACATGATGCATATAATACTGAATGTCGTTGTGAGCTAAGTGATAGAAGATCCCATTCAGCAGACCTTAATGCACTTATACCTGATTACTAAAACTTAATATTTTTCACTGTTCATCTATGTCCTCGCGGAGTTG